GCCCGCCCTGCCTGCTGGGTCACCCCTTACTGCCACCCCCCTGCCAGCCTGGTTGCTCCCCACACCCCCCCCCTCTGCTGTCCTGGTTGTCCCTTACTACCCCCCAATTGCCAGACTAGTTGCCCCTCACAGCACCCCCACTGTCCTGGTAGCCCCATGCAGCCTGCTATTCAGTCGTTTGGTTGTCCCTCACTAACCCCCCTGCCAGCCTGGTTGTAGGCAGTCATCTTGTGAGGGTGTGAGGGTTAATTTGCATATTATCTCTTTATTATATAGGATTTATTCCTTTTATAACTGCCATAACTTCAAACACATGTTCTAATATTCCCTGTCTTCAAAAAATCATCTCTGGATCCCCACATCTCACTACTGCCATAATTTTTTGTGTTGTATTAAATAAAATTCCTGGGTAAAGTTTCCATATTTGCTGACTCACCTCCCATTTTCAATCCAATCCATTCCAACCTAACATTTTCCCCCAACACTCAACTGAAATGGCTTTTATCAACATTAGTAATAATCTACATCTGGCCAAATTCAATGGGCAATTTGTTTTATTATTCCACTTATCAGCAACATTTGATACTGATTATCCATTCTTTCAGGAAACACGTCTTTTATATATATATATTTCAGAGATGAAAGGAGAGGGAGATAGAGAAACATCAATGATGAGAGAGAATCATCGATTGGCTGCCTCCTACACAACCCCTACCAGGGACTGAGTCTGAAACCCAGGCATGTGCTCTTGACCGGAATCGAACCCTGGACCCTTCAGTTCACAGGCCAACACTCTATCTACTGAGCCAAACTGGCTAAGGCATGAAACTCATCTCTTGACCTTCATGACAGACATTACAAAACAGTACACACACTTTAGTTTTCTCCTGAATACTGACATTACTTCTTGCCTTTCTTTGCTGGCATATCCCTGATTACTAATCCTCTGAATATTTAAGATTCATAGTTTAGCTCTTACCTAGATTTATAATTTATATTTCAGGTTTATAATTTATATTGATTTCAGTTTTGTAAATAGTGTGACATAAAGGGCAAACTTCATATTTTAGTGTATCAGTATCCAATAGTCCTAGCATCATTTGTTGAAAAGACTATTTTTTTCATCACTGAATATCTTTGCCAAAATCAATTGACCATATATGTACGGGGATCTGTCTGTTCCTGGACTCTCTATTTTGTTCCATTGACTACGTGTGTCCTTGACCAATACTACAATGTTTTGATTATTGTAGCTTTAGAAAAAGTCAGGAGATCAAGTACTTCTAATCTTCCAACACTGTTCTTATTCAAAATTGTTTTGGTTATTCTAGGTCCTTTGCATTTCCATATAAATTTCTGAAAACACTTGTGAATTTCTACAAAATAATCCCATTGATTGGCATTCCATTGAACTTCTGGATAAATTTCAGAATCTTAGTCATATTGAGTCTTCCAATTTGTCATCATGCTACATCTTTCTATTTAATATTTTTAAAATTTTCCTGAGCAATATTTTATAACCCTCAATATCTTGTGTCTATTTTGTTAAATTTATCTCTGAAGTATTTTTGATGCCGTTAAAAATGGTATTGCTTTTTAATTACAATTTTAAATGTTCATTACCTGTCTAGAAACATATAATTATTTTTTTTATATTGACATTGAACCCTGCCACCTGTTGAACTCATTATTAGTTCTCTAGAAACTGTTTTCATAGATTTTTAAAGATGTTCTACATAAATGATTATATCACCTCAGAATAATGACAGCTTTACTTCTTCCTTTCCAACCTATATTACTTTTATTTCTTTCTCATACCATATTGTATTGGTTAGTTTCCTCCAGTACAATGTTGACTGGAAGTAGAAAAAGCAGACATCCTTGCCTTGTTCTCAATATTAGGAAGAAGGCATTAATTTTCATATTAATAAACTTGGCATAGTTGCCATTTATCAGGTTAGGGACATTTTCGTCTATTCATAGTTTGCCAAGAATGAAAGCTGAACTTTTTAAAGTGATTTCATGCATATTGAAATGATAATGTGGTTTTCCTTTTACAGTACTGAAATAATGAACGACCCTGATTGTGCTTTGAAATTTGGACTAACCTTGTATTCCCAAGATGAACCTAATTTTCTTAGAATATGTCATCCTTTTTATGTATTGCTATATTTTGCTGGGTAAAAATTTTGCCTCTATGTTTGCATGTCACATTGGAGCCTAACTTCTTTTCTTGTCTTTATCAAGCTTTGCAATCAGTTTAATGTGTGAGTGTGTATTTTATGAGAAACAGAAGTTTTTAACTAAAAATTAAAATTCCTAAGATGAATCTAGGCTATTCAAATTATCTTTTTTTCCTTTGGCAGTTGTCTTTCAAGGAATTTGTGCATTTCATTGGCATAAAATTTTTCTTAATATCCTTATCATTTTAATGTTTGTAGAATCTACAGTGATGGTACCTCTTTAATTCCTGATATTGGTAATTTGTGTCTCCCCTCTTTTTTATCTTGATCAGTTTGGATAGAGGGTTTTATCAATTACATTAATCTTTTCAAAGAACCAACTTTTGGTTTCATTTATTTCTCCTATTTTTCTTGTTTCATCCCATTTATGTCTACTCTTTATTATTTCCTTCATTTTGCTTGCTTTGATTTTATTTTGCTGTTTTATTTCTAGTTTGTTTGAAAGTTTAAATTACTATTATTTTTTTAAATATAATTTTATTGATTTCAGAAAGGAAGGGAGAGGAAGAAAGAGATAGAAACATCAATGATGAGAGAGAATCTTTGATTGGTAGCCTCCTGCACAACCCCCACTGGGGATCAAGCTTGCAACCTGGTATGTGCCCGGACCAGGAATTGAACCATGACCTCCTGGTTCATCGGTAGACGCTCAACCACTGAGCCACATCAGCCGGGCTAGAAGTTTAAATTATTGAAGTGAGTTATTTTTTTCTCTAATGTAAGCAGTTAATGTTATAAATGTTAATGTTTTCATTTTCATTCAATTCAAAATATTTTCTAATTTTCCAGTGACTTCTTCCTTGAATTAGAAGTGTTACTTAATTTCCATATATTTAGAGCTTTTTCAGGTATCTATTATTTATTTCTAGTTTAATTCCATTGTGGTCAATCATTATACCTTGCATGGTTCCTATCCTTTTAAAGTCAATGAAATTTGTATTATCACTCTGAATATTGTTTATTTTAGTGAATGTTTCATGTGTACTTCTGAAGAGCATATTCTGCTATTATTGGGTTGAGTCACCTGTAAATGTCAAGCAGCTAAATTGGTTGGTAGTGCTGTTCAAGTCTTCTTGAATCTATACTAATTTTCTGTCTACTTGTTCCATTACTTACAGACAAGAATGCTGAAATCCTAATCATAATCATTAATTTGAGTATTTCTTCTATAAGTAATAGTATTTTTCCCTTTCTGTATGCTGATGTTCTATTACGGGATATGTACATATTTAGTATTATGTCTTCTTGATATAACTGACCCCTTTCTGTCAGATTCTCACTGTACCCTTCTTTAGTCTGGACTCTAACCCATGAGGCTGAACTTTA